AGGTTAAGGTTAAAGTTAAGTATGTGTGCATTTGCAGGATCAGCACTTAAGTCTCTCCCTTCCTTTCCAAAAGCAGATTTTCATACTACTACGGTATTATTTTGATTAACAGAATATAGCCATCTTAAAAAAACCTCTTAGAAGTGCTATTTTGAGACTTGGACCATGCTCTTGCACCGCAAAATTCATCACTGGTATTAGCAAGTGCAATTTCATTGAATTTGGTGGAATTGTCTTTGTTTATGACAGTAAAAAATATGGCCTTAGTTTCTGTGGAAAAGTTAATAGTTCACTCTTTAGCCCACCTTACTCCCCCTCCCAAAATTAATGTGGAAATTATTTTGGCTTCTGTGCTAGTATATCTGAATTTCTCAGTGAACCCCAAAGCACAATTTTTACAGCACAACTTATAACTGTAAGGCCCATTCCTGCACTATTGACATCTGTGTGAGTTTTTACATTGATGTATGTGAACAAGACTGGGGCCTTATTTTACATGCATAGTGTCTGTCATAGAATCTGTGTCTCATAATACATTCAAAAACTGAATAATATCATTTTAATCTCTGTAACCAAATATAAATAAGAATAGCATCTGTGTTTAGACTACTCAGGATAATATTACAAGTGCTATCAACCCTCACTCTTCAGCATATACAATAAGATGATTACCAGCTGGTGAGGAAAAAAATGACCCTGTTAGAGTATTGTACAATTAGATGTATAGGTTTTACATCTTCCTTTTAAGTATCCAGTGTAAGCCTTTATTAGAGACAAGGTACTGGAATAGATGGATCACAGGTCTCGTCAGGAAATTCCTCTGTTTCTTAGTTTGCTTAGTTTCCTGTATTTCCTTAGCTTGTGGGCAGTGTATGACTTGATGTGCAGTTTCTTGCACCCCATACTAGTATTTGTTGGAATTCCAACTTTAAATCATTAATATTTTTTGTATTTAACTACAAAAGAATCTTAGTAGTAAAGCTGCCAGGTAACTCAGTTCCCTAAGTTATTTATGCATGCTCATTTTATTCAGTAATGTATATAAATGAAAAAAATATTTTCCCACTAATTTGGAGATAAACTATTTTTAAAAACTGGGAGACAAATCTTAAAAATGGTGATTATAGTTTGAGTCGTCTCAAAGTCACTTAATTTGTGGATAATCTTTCTTTCAAACTTCATTTTAGTTGTGATTTTGTGACACATTGTTTCTGGTAACACAGCTAGTTGATCCTCTTTATTGCCATGAAAATCTGCTAAAAATTTTAAACAAAGCACTGCCTTTACTAGTTAGCTGGAAAAAGAAAAATCCACCTTCCTTTTTTAAGTAATTTCTTATATTATTTCTACTCTTAAGTTTTGCTTATTATATAAGAGGCAGAAAAATCTGGAAAGGGGAGAGTGAATCTGTCACTGTGCTGTGTGTGTGTGTCTTTGCAAAAGTGTGGTGTATTTTTGTTGCTGTGCTGTGGCTCTATGATATGTCTGTGTGTGCAAATACTATAGTAGTATAAGGGCCATACCGTCAATCAAACCCTAACCTCGCCCCTTGACCCCTTAAGCCCCGCCCCTTGGTCCCTTGGAGTGAACCGCCCAGAAGAGGGTCGTGTGACCCCTCTGAAAACTCCCCCGACCACCCTCTACCAATCAGGAGGGGTTTCGTGCCGACAGGACCGCCCTGAGAGGCGATTTTGACCAATCAGGGTGACTTCCAGGTTAGGGTGACCCCTCCGGAAGTGAGTCGTGTGACCCCACTAAGAACTCCTCCCAAGGACCTCCGCCAATCAGAGTGCAGCACCATTACCCCATAAGTCCCAGCGCCAGGCAGAGGAGGTGGCCATCTCTTACCAAGGACACGTGTTTTCGAAATCGCGGAAAGGCTGCTGAGAGGAAACATGGACTCCTTCACTACCCCTGTGAGAACTTCTGACTTTGTTTTAGCCCCGAGGGTCTTTGACCATCCGCGGAGAAAATGCTACATCAGCGACAGTTCCGAGGAGGAGGGAGCGACCGAGGGGAGCCCTTTGGCCCAGCCGTTGCTGGATACGCAGGAATCCGACTCCAAAACCCTCGTGAGACAGCCCAATGAGCGTGGTGGTCTCTCTTTGTCCACCCTCTCAGAGGTGGAAGGCGATTGCGGCTCGGGGGAGTCACCGGCGGACAAGGCGAACGGAAAAGACGGTGCTCAGGTAAATGAATGCTTAAGAAGCGATGGTCGAGGAGGGGTTGGTAACTCTGAGAATGATGGCTATGAGGAGTTTAGGAGGCTTGGCATAGAAATCGTGGAAAGGCTGCTGAGAGGAAACATAGACTCCTTCACCACCCCCGTGAGAACTTCGGACTTTGTTTTAGCCCCGAGGGTCTTTGACCATCCGTGGAGAAAACGCTACATCAGCGACAGTTCCGAGGAGGAGGGAGCGACCGAGGGGAGCCCTTTGGCCCAGCCGTTGCTGGATACGCAGGAATCCGACTCCAAAACCCTCGTGAGGCAGCCCGATGAGCGTGGCGGTCTCTCTTTGTCCACCCCCTCAGAGGTGGAAGGCGATTGCGGCTCGGGGGAGTCACCGGCAGACAAGGCGAACGGAAAAGACGGCGCTCAGGTAAATGAATGATTAAGAAGCGGCGGTCGAGGAGGGGTGGGTAATGGGGTAGGAACTGGGGGTTGCGTAAATTAAAAAACAAGCAGTGGGGGTGCTTACACGCATTTTCTTTTCTGAAAATTTCTCAACAGCTCGACGATGCCTTTCTAGAGGACCCGGACAGCGATGCATCAAGCAGCGAAGATGAACTGGCCCCACCATGTTTTTGCTCAACGCCAATATAAGTTGTTGAAGAGGACTCTGAGGATGATGGCTATGAGGAGTTTAGGAGGCGGCTTGGCATAGAACTAACTGAGCCAGTGCCACGTCGTGAGCGTAAAAAAGTCATGCGGACTATTGTACGCATTGCTATTTATGCTATCCTTAAACACTGCCTTAGGGAAAAGCTTTTTGAAGATTGTGAGGGCTGTGTCATAGATGCGCCAGGCCAAAGGCACCATGACTGTGTGACTTGGACTTCAGGGGATATAAACTGCAAGCTCCGGGGCCTGTGTGCTGAGCTGTGTTTGGAAAGCTTATTAAACACTGTTGTTGCCATAGGTTATGGTACGCAATGTCTGTGCCTAACCCAAGAACATTTAGCGCAAGGGGTGACCTTGATAAATGCTGTGCAATTCAGTGCAGACCCTGACCGTGTTCTAAAGGAAATGACCAAACCGGAAGATGCCTGCTTAGAGCATCTTATATTGACCGTCTAGTCTGCACAAAGAGTTACAGAACCCTGCTTAAGAAAAAAACTATTTGTAAGAAATCTAAAAGGATTAAGTTAGAGAATGGTGACGGGACAAACATGTGATATAAAACTTAGTAGCTGTAAATTTTTTAAAAAGGGGGGGTTTGTGTCTATCTGTGTTTTGTTAGAAGGCCTTTGGCCCTTAAGTGAGCTAAAAAGTTTTAATGAAGCAGTTGGTTTGTTTTCAAGGAGCTGTATGTTTTTTAAAATAAAAAAATAATTGTTTGTGAGAATTATCTCTTGTGGGGTTTCTTTTGTGTGTGTATAGCAAAAAGCTGAAATGTCTGTTGTGGGAGGGGGAAAAATCCTAAAAATGTGCTTACAATAAAGCAAGTCTAGTTCAGACAATAGAGTTAATATGGAGATATACCTATCTCATAGATAGGCCTTTACTAGCAGGGCCAAATATTGATTTTGTCCCAGACCCCTAAGCGGCCCTCTCAAGGATTGAACTCACAACCCAGGGCTTAGCAGGCCAATGCTTAAACCACTGAGCTATCCTTAGGCTGTTGAACTGAATGGGGTGTTAACCACACACACTCAGACAAAATGCTTTCACTACCCCAGATCACAAAAGGGAATGCTATGGGAGGGGTGATTAAATTAACCTGTTTGAAACAATGGGCTAAGAGGGTATAAAAACCTCAGGTATGCTACAGTTTGTCCTTTTCAACAGAAAACTTTTTTGGATAGCTGCTGGACTGCAAAAAGAGGTAAGACTTGCTGTCTTTAACTCTGAAACTATATGTTATATAATGCCACTCTTTGCCCATGCTGTCTTAGTAAATAATGGTGCCTATGTTTATTGCAGTGAGATCTGTTTAGCCTGGAACCAGTAACTTTAAACTGCATTTCACCACCAGGCCAAGGTAAAAACCATTTTAACTATAGTTGTGCTTAATACTGTTGAATTAAAAAAGTGTTACGCAGGCTGTATAGGGATTTGGTGGTAATACTAACTAACATTTTTGCTTGTGTGCTTAGGCCTTCAGGTTCAAGAACATGAGGGGGAACAGAACAAGCATGTGCCTGCAACACTTTATCCCATAGTGAAAGGTAACTTTATTTTTTATTTTCTTTTTTGCAACAAACTTTTAAATGCATGTGGGTTTTTGAAAAGTATATGGCTGCAAACTTGGTTTGGTGTGTTTTATAAAGCTGCTGTGGTGTGTGTGTGTGTGGTGGGGGGGCCTGTGCAAGGCTATAGGTTTTTTTTTAAAGTACTTGGTTTGTTTTAAACTAACGTTTTTGTTTTTTTACTGTGCATAATGTGATGGGTTTTTAAAATGGGGTTTGAGGCACTTGGGGTAGGGGTGAATGCTACTAACTAAACCAAAGGCACATGGCTGGGGTCAGAACAACCATGTGGCTTTTAAATGCATGTGGGGTTTTTGAAAAGTATTTGGTTGCAAACTGTGGATTTTAAACTGGTGGTATGTGTGTTTTAAACTAACAAGGGTTTCTGTGCAAAATGGATTTTAAAAGCCGTTTTGGTTTTTATTCTGCAAAATGAGATGTATTTAAAAACCTGTTTGTTGTACAGCCTGAATTGGATTATTTTGTTGTAAAGCTATGACTTTTTAAATAGAAAAATACCCTAATGAAGTGTGTGTGTGATATGTATGTTTACAAGATGGTTTCATGTGTTTTATAATAATGTTGTTGTTGTTTGCTCCACAGTACAGTCAAAATATGAGAGATCCTTAGATCAGAGGGAAAACAAGCTGAAAAGAATAAGGAAAGAGACCGCTGAAAAGGAAAATTCACCAGCATCAGTGACTGATGGATGGATGAAGCCCTGTAAATATATTTTGCTTATTGGGTTGGTTGTTCTGAGGTTTTGTATTTTAAGTAAATACATAGGTGTGGGTGAGAGAGGTGGTAAAGTTCAGTTTTTGTAAAATGTTGTTGTTTTTTTCCCCTCATAGGCCTGGGCAACTTTTCTGACAATGCTGTAGTCAGAGATACAAGGACATCTCCTCCAGAACTGCCAACGAACCAGGAATCTGCTTTGAGACCTTTAAAAACGCAAAACAGCACAAGAGCGCAGCTGAAGCATCCGGGCAGTCCAAACCTCATATACGTCAAACCCAAGGACAAAACAAAAGACTCTGGTAAAAAAACAACCATGCCACCACAACTACAGTTCCTCAGTGGTCACCACCACACCAAGCCCTGAGGAAACTGTGAGCGAAAATGCCCACATTCACAATCCCGGAGCATGCGTTCTAGGGGTTGTGAATAAAAAACCTGTCAGAGTGGGTGGCAAGCTTATGTTCCCGCTATGCCGAACCTGTGCGGAAACCGAGCAGCGGGAGACATGCACCCATACTGACGAGGAGCGGGCCATCCTGGGGACTTGGTGCGTGGTGGAATTGAACGCAGCCATAGCGAAGGGGTACGCAGTGGCTAAAAGCTATGAAATCTGGCATTTTAATGAAAAATCTGAAACTCTTTTCAGAGTACATAAAATTACACCTCCGCCAGAAACAAGAGGCTTCAGGGTATCCCAGTTGGTTCACAGACGAGGAAAAAGAAATAAGTACGTTAGCGATTTCTACCAGAAAGAAGGTGTGCATTCACACCAACACGAAATCAGATCAAACCCTGCTAAACGCCAAATTGCTAAACTGTTTTTAAATTCTCTGTGGGGTAAATTCGGCCAAAGATCCAACCTACCCAACACCAGCATCGTGAGAGACCCTGACGAACTCTTACAGTACCTGTTCTCCCCCAATTATGAGGTTTCATCCTGCGAGTTTATCGATGATGAAACAGCATGCGTGTCGTGGAAGCACGCAGAAGAACGGTACTCTGTCTCTGGCAATACCAATGTTTTCATAGCCTGTTTCACCACCGTTTATGCCCGCTTAGAATTATACAGCCTCCTAGATGGTTTGCAAGAGCGGTGCCTGTACCACGACACTGACTCGGTGATATTTGTGAAAAGGGAGGGTGACTGGAATCCCCCTCTGGGGGGTTATTTAGGGGACCTCACGAGCGAGATCCTGCCAGATCAACACATCACCCAGTTTGTGTCGGCAGGCCCGAAAACCTATGGGTATAAGCTGTCAGGTGGAAAGGCCTGTATGAAAGTCAAAGGTATTACCCTAAACGTAGCAAACTGCGAAAAGATCAACTTTGACAGTTTGAAAGATCTAGTCTTGGACTACTGCAAGGGTCTGCAAGAAAACACCTCAAAAAAGATAGAGGTGCAGCAGCCCTCTATTGTAAGAAACAAAAATCAGTGGCAAATAGAGACAAAAACCCTTAAAAAGACACAAAAAGTGGTTTACAACAAGAGGGTTCTAGGAGAAGCTTTTAAAACCCTACCCTACAGCTTTTGAAAAAAGAAAAAATGGATACGAGGTGGAAACACCCCTTTTCTGCAATTCTCGTGGGGCCTAGCAACTGCGGGAAAAGTTTCTTTATAAAAAACGTGTTGGATAATGCCAAACACACACTGTCTGTTTATGCCTGAGAATATTGTGTGGTGTTACAGTTGTTGGCAACCTCTGTATAAAGAACTGCTTTGTAAATATCCCTTTATCAATTTTGTGGAGGGGCTGCCTGATGCTTTTGACGATGACAGTTTGTTTCCTACTAATAAAGTAAATATGATTATCATAGACAATCTGATGAACTCGGCTTGTGAAAGCGATGAAATCGAGAAAGCCTTTACCAAGTATGTGCATCACAGAAACCTGAGCATTATGTATATAGTTCAAAACGTATTTTGTCAGGGGAAATAGAGTCACACGATTAACCTAAACACAAAGTACATAGTTCTGTTCAAAAACCCCAGGGATAAATTACAAATTGCTATGCTTGCTCGGCAAATGTACCCCAGCAAAGCTCAATTCTTTCTAGAAGCTTTTGAGGATGCTACCAAAAGACCTTATTGCCTACCTGGTAGTGGATTTAAATGCTTCCACAGCAGAAGCTTATAGACTAAGAACTGGTCTTTTCCCTCCAGACTGGCTGGCGGTTTATACTTTGAAAAGAACAACAGCCGGGTATTAAAAAGGGGCCTGCCGATAAGTCATCTCTTTTAACAGCCAGGGCTGCTGCCCGAAAACATGTCTAGCTGCGTGAAGTGAAACCTGGGCCTTTTAAAATTACTTAGCAAATCGTCCCTACAGCAAAGGACGGCTATACTGTGTTCGGCCTCTGACGATCTAGTAGCTGCCATCTCAGAAATAGCGCTCAATACCTTAAAAGGAAACGTACCTTTTAACACAGAATCAAGTGCATGTGCTGAAAAAGAAATGCACGCTTATAAAAACTTTGTGTAATAAAAGGGTTTCACTTAAATGAAAACTGCATCTGGTGAAGCAGTCTGGGGGGTTTATGGGACCTCTGTTAAGTTTTGCTATCCCTCTGATAACGGGGCTTTTAACTAATCGATAATGGCTGGGCACCAGGAACATTTTTTCTGCATACTCCACCAGTTGGAGCAATTAAGGGCTCCTCCTCCAGCAGAGGAAAATATCAGAACAACCGCAACTCGCTTACTGGATGCTGAAATGAAGTCTGTTCTTCAAACAACTGACTTGGCTGAATACGAAAAGGCTAAACTTTACAGCGCCGTACTTCAAAGGTACCTAATGTATGTGAAGCAGAGCGATGTGGATAAAGGGAAAATAAGTCTGTTTCTACCGGAACAGGAACAAAGTGTGACTGCCAAACCCCCAGAAACACCAAAGAACTCAGACTCTGTTGCTCAGGAGGTGTTGGATAACGTGAATAAGCGTTATAAAAAAATGCATTAGTATTGCTAAATAAGCTGGGCCAGGATAAAAATCTCTTTTCATGGAACGATAAAGGGTCTTTTATGTACAAAGGCTCTGTGGTTAATGGTTCTAACATGCTCGACGTAGTCAGGGCCGTCACCCAGACTCACTCTGTTCCTAGCAGACATGTACCTAAAGGATGGGATGTGTTTATGAATGCCATGGCAGAACTGAATGTACCAACTTCCGTCATGGGCAATGCGTCCAACAGATATCTTTTGGAACGCCTCAAGGCCTCGACTGCTGACACCGGGGTGGATCGAGAAACCGTGACCCCTTTTTTGCCATCTAAAAAACGAAAAATTTCATAATGCTTTTAGGAAACAACACACTGTTCAGGGGGTGCCCATATGAGTCAAAAAACTCTCCACGGTTACGCTCCGCCAGCTACAAGGTGAGCCAGTGTTCACCCGGTTGGTTGTGTGGATGTGTGTTCACCACCAAGCCTAGGGGTCTCTGAGACAGCTTGCCTCCTGGGAGCCAATTGCAAGGGAACACATCTAAGAAATTCTTTTTCGTGTAAGGGTCCGTTGATAAGACACGTGAGAGCTGCATGGTGTCCATGTTCACATGTAGTCAAACAGAACGTTTCTCCTCTGATTTATTTCTATGACATTGTCAAAAACCCCATACACAATCATGTTGACAGTAACCGTTCAAGCCTTCCCAAAACGTATTTCTGCTCTCAGGTTCCCGGTTTTAATCAGGGAATAGTGATCAGCGCATTCCTGGTCGGGAGACAGGTCAAAGGCAAACAAGGTGTAACCCTGTGCAAACTCCTCATGGTCGATTAACAGAGAACGATCTTTCATGTGTTTACCAGCTGTCTGTACCAAATTCATGTATTCTCTCACGCAGCGTCCTGCCTCGAAGTCCGGTTGCAGAGGCTTTGTCGTTATCTGTTCACCATCCACATACAAGGCCACAAAATTAATATAGTAATATTTAAAATGAAACGGATTTTTAGCGTAACTTCCGCTAAAGGCATCGTTATCCACAAACCCTAGGACAAGCATTTTGGGTAACTATAGTAACAGGAGCCATATAATTCCTTATCTATACACAAAAGTTGCGAAGGTTTAACTAAAGGTGGTTTTTAAATTGATGTAACAAGAGGGTCACACACTTTGTTGCTTCAGGAGGCCGAGTATATTGTATACTCTAGGGCAGGGGTGGACAAACTTTTTGGCCCAAGGGCCACATCTGGGTATAGAAATTGTATGGTGGGTCATGAATGGTCACAAAATTGGGGTTGGGGTGCGGGAGGGGGTGAGGGTTCTGGCTGGGGATGTGGGCTTTGGGGTGGGGCCAGAAATGAGGAGTTCAGGGTGCAGGAGGGGGCTCCAGGCTGGGGCAGAGGGGGTGCAGTGCAGGAGTGATGGCTCCGGCAGGGGGTGCAGGCTCTGGGGTGGGGCTGGGGATGAGGGATTTGGGGTGTAGGAGGGTGCGCCGGGATATGACTGAGGGGTCTGGAGGGCGGACGGGGAGGCTCAGGGCTGAGGCAGGGAATCGGGACATGGAGAAGGGGGTTGAGGGCTCCGACTGGGGGTGTGGGCTCTGGGGTGGGGCTGAGGATGAGGGGTTTGGGGTGCAGAAGGGTACTCTGGGCTGAGACTGAGGGGTTCAGAGGGCAGAAGGGGGATCAGAGCTGGGGCAAGGGGTTGGGGTGCAGGGGGTGGCTCAGAGATGCAAGCTCCGGGCAGCGCTTACCTCAAGCAGCTCCTGGAAGCAGCGGCATGTCCCCTCTCTGGCTCTTATGCGGCGGTGTGGCAAGGCAGCTCTGCTACGCGCTGTCCTGTCCACAGGCGCCACCCTGCAGCTCCCATTGGCCACAGTTCCTGGCCAATGGGAGCTGCAGGGGCGATGCTTGTGGAAGGGGCAGCATGCAGAGCAGAGCCCCCTGGCTGCCCCTATGCGTAAGAGCTAGAGGGGAGACATGCCGGTGCTTCCAGGAGCCGCGCAGAGTGGCCCCCAACCCTGCTCCCCACCTGGAGCGCTGGAGCGGGGCAAGCCCTGAATTAAAATGGCTGGTGGGCCGGATGTGGCCCGTGGGCAGTAGTTTGCCCACCCCTGCTCTAGGGACTCTGCATCATACATTTCCCCTCTCCCCACAAGATCCCTGTGTGTTACCTTCCTATCCCCCTCTATTTCAGGGACTCCATGCAACCCCCCGTTCATAACCAGGGCTCTGTGTCCTCCATTCAAATGTTAAACACTATGGCAGGGGCTCTGTGTGCCCCCCATTTCCCTCCACCTCATAGCAGAGGCTCTATGTGTCCCCATGTTCGCCTCCACTCTTAACATTGTTCTCCCTTCTCCCCTCACTAGCCAGAGGCTCAATGTGCCCTTCTCCACATACCATGGCCCCCCATTATTCCCTCCCAGTGATTAAGTCCCTCCCCATTCCCTACTTCCCCCATACCAGGCGCTCTGGGTGCTCCCCTTCCTCCCATGATAAGAGTCCCCATTCTCCCTCCCATGCCAAGGGAGCCAGTGTGAGGCCTCATATCCCCTCCCTCAAACCCAACCCCACAAAAATCTTGTTTCTTTTCTTTCTGTTTAGGAGATAAGCCATTCAGGGTGCCAGCATTTTTAAAGTATATTTTGGGAGGAAGAGTAGAGCCAAGATGGGCAGGGGGGTGCTATGGAGGAAGGTGTTAATGGCTGTTACCAACTGGTTCTTTGATCTATAGAGAATTACAAAGGTGACTGAACCTGCTGGCTCTGCTAACCAGCCCTAAAGGGCTCCCATTTTTTCCCTTCCAGTTTTCATCAAAATCGATAGGGTTTGACCCACAGATGCCCAGAACAGTCCCTGAATTTTTGGAACTGATTGGAAAGAGACAACCAGAGAAATGCCATAAAGCTGAGTGTAAAACATCGCTTTGCTTGTCCTATTAAACCAATGCAAACCCCTGTATGGGCACTCTTTCCTTAACCTGTATATTATATAATTTTAACATTAGCTTTAATAACACTTTAAAATTTGATTTAGAGTAAATTGGATTTGAAAAGTGATTTTTAAACTGGAGCAACTTTTGTGAATAGGCAAGGCCTAAGTTCTAGCCAGAGTGTCCAATAGCTGCTGTCTTGTACCATGTGGAGTCATTTACACCAAAGTGAGTGACAAATGCTACTTTCTGATTTACTAATCTTTACCTCTACTTTGCATACTAGCGTAAATGACTACACCCGCTGTACCGCAATAGAGAATCAGACCTGTAGCGTTTGCTTCTTTATACTTTTGTAGTGTTTCTGTGCTTCACTGTGCTATGTATCGCTCTGTCACTGTGTGGTGCTGAGCTATCTTTCTCTTTATATCAATATGCTGTGTCTGTGTTTTCCTGTTATCCTTGTGTCCTTCTGGCGCGAGTGTGTCTTTGTGTTGTCTTTTGTGTCCCAGTGTTGTATGGCATGCTGCTGTCTTTGTGTCACTGTTTGTCATAGTGCTGTGTATTTCTGTCACTTTGTAAAAATATTATTTATATTGAAGTAGTGGCTTGGAACCCTAAACGTGGGCCAGGACCCCATTGTTGGGTGCTGCACAAACACAGAACTGCGTGATGCATCACTGTGCTATGTCTCTTTGTGCCACAATGCTGTCTCAATGGTGCCTCTGTGCCCCTGCTCTGTATTTGTGTGTCAGTTTCTGTATTTCCCGGTTCCATTGATTGTCCTTCCTCTGTGTTTCAGCAGTGTGTGTCACTGCACTGTGTTACCTGTGTGAGTGTGTTTTTTTATATACCCGAGTGTCCTTGTGTCCTAGTTTTTGGTTAAAGCAGGTTGAAATGGGAGGGGGCGTGCCCATCTTACCCCTCTGAGCAGGGGCCGCGGTGCCAGATCACTGCTCGGGGACAGGAGAGGGAGCTGTGCTCACCCCACTCCTGCTCTCCCACTGCCCTGTCTGGTTCTTTGTCCCTGGGCGGCACTGCGGTGTGCATCTGTGCCTGGGTGACGCAGGGTCGCCGGGGAGGGAGGTTGCTCTCTCTCCTGGTGTTTCCCCCGGGCTGTGAGCGATGCCTGGGGCGCCCTGGGCCGCTGCTTTGGTCCCTGGCCTATATCTCCTCCGCTCCTCCCCGCGCACCATTTTCTCTCCCCTCTCAGCCAGGCACAGGAGAAGCAACACGGCGGCGGCGGCGGCAGCTCCCTCCCCTTCTCCTCAGATGCCCTTTGCTACCGCTGCAGGTTTATTATTACAGCGCGGGGCTGCTCGCTCCCTCCCGCCACCCGCGCGCTGGGACTGGCAGGGCGCCGCGGCTGTGCAGCTCCTTGGCCAGCCTCCCCGCCTGGCACCCCACCAGCCCGGCTCCGGATTATTTGTCTGGAAAGCAGCAGCCGCTCTCCGGGGAAAAGGGGGGGAGGTTGACCGACGGCCGCGCGCGCCAATGGCTGCTCGCTCCTCCCCGGCTCGGAGCTCAGGCCCAGGCAACAGGGCCAGCAGCACCGCCGGAGGAAAGAGGGGCGAGCCGAGCCGAACCGAGCCAAACCCCTCCCCCCTTCCTCCAGCGAGGCGGCTGCCGCTGGGTTGCCAGTGCTCTCCGCAGTCCGTGCGCAGTGATTGGTCGGCTGGGTCTCTGGCTGCTAGACAGCGGGGGGACTTTGAGTTGAGGATTATTGCAGACTAAGCAGTCTGGCTCTGCAGCAGCAAAGCGGAGGGGGTGGGGGGAGAGTGTGTGTGTGTGTAACGAGGGGAGGAGGGGGAGAGCTGGCAGCCAGCCAGCCACCATCAGAATTAGCTCATTGTTCAATAGAACCAGCACAGGCAACCAAACCCCAGCCTGGGAGAGGGAGAGACTTTCTCCCAGCTGCCCCCACCCCTTTTCTTTTTCCTCCAAGGCTGCTGCACTTTGGAAGAGGTGCAGTCATTCTTTCCCCACACCCCCAACCCTACCCACTCCCCCCCCCCAACTATAAATTCCCTTCTGGAGCATGCTGCCCTCTTTTTAATCCACATTTGTGTTTCAGATCATGTAGAAAGGACAGAAAGGGAGCAGGGGCTTTTGTCTGTAAGTATATGCAATTCCAATCCACAGCTCGGAGAGATCTGCATCCCCTCCCTCTCTTTTCTTTGTTTCTTTTCATTTCTTTTTGCCCTTGGCTGGACTCTGCTGCAGCAAATTCACTTCCCCCCCTCTTCACCCCCGGCTGCACATTTCAAAATAGGCTTTCTTAAAAAAGAGAAACGTGCAGTATACATATTTGCTTAACCCTTTCTGCTTTAAGTCTGTATTTTTGAGTTTGGGATTTTTATGCACTAATGGGGAAAATATGCAGGGGTTTTCTGAAGCTGTGGTTCCCTCCCATTTTTGCAATTATAACCACAAAAATGCATTTTTAAATCGACAGCACTTTGCTTTCCTAGCATGCATGCACGACTCTCGGGTGGGATTTTCTCCCCCTTGTAAAATGAATCTTCTCTTTCGCCGCCCTGACAGTGGATTCCTCTCTAGCTGCCGGGGTATATTTTTAGAAAGCAGTCATTCTTCTTGCAGCAATCGTAGGCATTTTTGCATGTGCAGCAATTACAAAAAAACAGCCACACTTTAAGTGTTTTTATGCAGATTTAGTGATCGACTTTTCCGCAAAGGTTTATATACACGTATCTACATGTGAACTTGCAATCTTATATATAGTGTTTGTGTGTGTGTGTGTATGTATGCGTGTAAATGAGTTGTAGCTAATTAAATTGTATATATGCATATGCTCTGTATACATTTAATATACTTAGTATAAGAAATTTTATTCCATACATACTAATGTTGCCACCAACTATAAGATAGAGGGACTGTGCTGTGTGCATAGTAAATAAAGTAGGGATTGCATTGTAGTACAGTAATTAAATGTAGAATTGAGATGAAATGATATAACGTTAGATATTCATTATTTTCCTATTTAAGAATTTGGGGAGTGGGTAGGGGTGTATGTGTGTGTATTTGAGAGAGAGAGAGAGAGGAAGGGGGTTACGTAATGCAATGCTATTTCCAAAAATATCCCCTGGATCATAACATTTTATGGAAGTGTGACTTATTTTTGCTGTCTTGATTGCAAACGATTATAGATGGTAGTAAGTCTGGGAACAATGAACAACCTTTACATTCAGTACAGAATGATCTATTTTTGTCCTCTTGTCTAGTGGGTTAACCATTAAGTATGGTGCACTTCAAAGATGTGCAGTGCTAAGAATAGCACAGGGCTTTGCAAATCCAGGTAACAGGGATTCCTTTGTCCTATATTTAAGCCTATAGACCACTGAAGCACACAGACGCATGCTATATAAATACACGTTTTTAGGTTAATTTGCATGCCTTTTGATCTTAGCCACTGAAGCATATATTTAGCCAGTATTATAGCAAATGAGCCAAAACCGTTTGAATTTTGTGACAGTTATGGTGATATGATTTTTTTTTTAAATCATTTGTAGATTACTCTCTTTGTGGTACCGGAGAGAAACTGCAGTCCCAAGACTTAAGAGTCTAAAAATGGTAAGAATTAGTTGTTTTAGCAAAGAATCAGTAGTTTCCCATGCTATCAAATATCAGAATTAACCTCCTTCCCCCAACCCTCACCACATTCAGAAATATGACCTTTAAAGACATCCTTTGGGATTCTGGGGATTTGCCATACAATGATTAATGCACTCTAAAAGCCTTTGTGAGTTGGATTTTTCATTTTTAGACATTTTCAACAGAAACCTGAAATCAGTCTTCATGCAGTGAGGTTTATTTAATCAGAACAAGAGAAAATGTGTACTGTCATGTAAAGAAACATAAGTTGCATATATGGGAACACGCAAACAAAGCAACATGCCACCAAGTCCATCACAAAAAACAACAACAACAAAGAATTGATCAGTGCACATAGCAAATAAAACAGTGTTAAGTCTGTATAGCAAATACCTAACATACAAAACAAATTTGCTTTTTATGAGGTAAATTTTCAACAGGAAAACCTCTTTGGGGGAGCTAATTGCTCCCCAAAAAAGGAAAGGTAGGTCTCAGCCCAGCTGAATTGTGGTTTACTGTATGTTGAATGTAATTGTTGCGCAACACTACAACAATTAAATCATTTAAATTTCCCTCTTAGTATTTTTCATTGCATTTTTATTTTTAATCTATTTCTTATACTATAAAATATTTATCACAAATACAGAAATAATCTTAGAGGTCAAACATGGTAACCTCTTAATATAAATATAGCATCTTCTGACACAGGGGCTTCCAATTTAGGAGGTGATGACCCTCAGACAGTAGGACAAATACAGAGGAAAGGTGTCTTTAGTTTTTTATTACTATTGTAGGCTCTGATAAGGCAAACTGAGTAAAATTTGATATTTCTTGTCCCAGTAAAACTTTTTATTGAAAATGTGCCCATTACTTGAAAAAGTTGGGAATCCATGCACTGATAAAATTGATACACCTTGGCTACTACATAAACAGGCTTGGCAGAATTCTGCCAAGCCTGTTTATGTAGTAGCCAAGGTGTATCAATGTAAATGTTCATAGTTGTGCAAAATCTTGGGGAGGGGAGTCAAACAATTATTTAATGATAGTAGACATTGAGATTCAAAAAGCTAATGCTTTGTAATAGTTAAAACACAAGTTGTCATCATCCCATGTCAAAACATACAAAGTAAACAGCCTTAAGTCAAACTTTAAGAAGTTCTCAAGCAGCATTTTTCTTACTTTGCTGGTCTGTGAATTTCAGTTATTATTGATGGAAATATTTTTTGTCAGTTTGTGTGTATAGTAAAATCAATGTACTGATAAAATGTTTCTAAGGCTATACATAAACCCTATCATCAGGCTTCTTAGAAGAGCTCATTAATAGACAAAGGACAAAATTCTGTGCTAATTTACACAGGTGCCATCTCATTTCTGAAGTGGAATTACATAGGGTGTATATTAGCCCAGAATTTGGCCTGAAATGTGAGGCATCCGAGTACAATATTTGCATAAAGATAACGCTAAATTAATTAGGATAAACTATATTATATTTGTCTGATTCTTTTGTTGGAAACTATCTTGATATGAAATCTATTATGAAGGCCACTTTTCATATTTGTCTACTGAAACTTTATAAATTGTATCTTCAAACAAGTCATGCAAATTCCTGTTCTTTCTGGAATCTACTTTTATGGAAAGATTTAACTCATTTTCATACAAATGAATATTTTGAGGTAGGGAATTGAAAGGGGAAATAAACTATGAATAGAAATCATGTTAACAGTCTTTCAATTTGCACCAATTTTGGAGTTTCTGATGGGATATAGACCATTATTTTTCCCAGTCTGCCAACACCAAGGAGGACAAACTGCCGATGTTTTGTAAAGATTAATACAAATCTTGAGATAGCAGGCAGACTTTTATATGTGATATGAATTTGACATATGTGTAACAATCCGCCCTCCCCCATTTAGGCCAAAGTGGCCATTGATTTTGCCAGCAAATAGTTCTATAAATCAGACCAGTATGCATGCCAAACCTAACATATAAATTAGAGTTATCCAAATGCAGAAAAATAATCAAACATAATTACCCATCTGTTAAGTTTTTCCATTGTTAACTCTGTAGTGCAGTCTAATTGAAATTTCAGTTCGTTGGTCTTAGAAAGTTTTTTGGGATAAGCCAAAATTCCACAACTTTTTTGTGATTCTTCCATCAATATTTCAGCATAAGAGACACCAGATTCCACATTGGCTTGCACCCTGTGCAGGGTTGCTCGAGGTGTAAGTCTTGGCAGAATTTGCCTTCGTAATCTCCCCAACCTCCCTTTTTGGCACAATACCACTGACTGTAATGAAATCAGACCACTGACATACTTCTTTCATTACTAACGTGGACATAGTTGCCATTGACATAGTAATAGTATAGTCATTTATTCCAAATATTTTTTTTTGCAGTTCAAATATGCAGGACTATTCCTTCATTTAAAATGTTTAAAATAATAATAATTTATCTGCATTGGACTGAGTACTGTTTCCATGCAATTATTAAGTACTTTTACCTACCTTTGGTATGCTGCAGAATCAAGGGCTCAGTCCTGCTTTTACTGAAGTCAGTGAAAGTTTTGGTGTTAGACTTCAGTGGGAACACTTTTAGGCCCATTTCTTTTAACCTTTTACTCTTTGACCGAAGTGAAGATGTATTATTTATTTGGTTAAACTTACAGTAAATTAAAATTGTGGCTATTGTAGGCTTGTTAAGTAGCACAAATTCATCCTTTGCATAACTTTATTGAAGTCTGTTCACTTCTCTAGGCGTTTCTGTATGTACGTTTTCCTATTAAATGTGTTTTACAGAATGTATAATTTAAAACACCTTAGAGATGTTTTCAATTTTCAGTATTTACTCTGCTTAATACAGGTGGCTTTTTCTGGATTTACACTTATGATGTGCTAGTACCAGGTTAGGGAATCTTTCCCTGCACTCTGTAATATTAACACCAATAATAAATTAAAACAGGGTTGAAAAGACAGAAAAATGTACATAGTTTTCTTCTGTGGATTTTTGGAAACATTTCATACACATGGCATAGTTTGAAAGTAACTTTAAGTTTAAGGGATCAGTCCTTAGCTTGTGTTACTTTAATTCATTTATTCATTTCATTCATTGTGAAGTAAAAAAGGACACCTTTTTACTTCTTTATGATGTATAAAGGGTAGAAATGTTGGGGTTTTCTTCTCCCCTCCCCCCTTTAAACATTAGAATTTCAGGCCATGGCTTACTTTTTTCCTGGACAACATAGATAATGTTTTTAAAAACCCTTTTTGTTTTGTCATTTGCTTTTGTTAAAATCTATTTAATTTATATGCCTAACAGTTGGAAGAAAATATCTTTGACAAAGATTCAACACTCTGACCATTCAATTAAGGGTTAGGAAGGTTCCCAGTCCATATGTCTGGGTCCTCCAAGAAGACCTGCAGCAAAACCAGAAAAGACAAGACTTGGTGTTTTGAAGGTAAAAGTGAACAGGTGGTGGTGGTGAGGCTATGCAAGAAGCAAGAAATGGCACAAAGCCTGCCCTCCCCTCCACCCCCTTTGCAGATCATCTTTAAACAGAAGTTCAGTGTAAAGAGAACTTGCAAAATAGTGTGGTAATGGATGGGTTTATAGGAGTAATTCCCAGTGGCCTCAATGGGAGTTATGATTTGTGTGTCAATGATCAAATAGATCCTTTAGAATTCAAATCTGATCTACATGAGGGAAAAATTAATATTAAAATGTTAAATTTCAGGACAGGCCATTATTTTCACCATGGCATATCACTGTATGCCAGCATTCTTTTTAAAATCAATACTGCTGTGATGGCACACGGATTCAGAACTGTGCAGTATTGGTGCATTGACCGAGAATGTGGGATCAGTTGAAGCTGAGCATTTCCAAGAATGTGTTCTTAGTAGGTTTAGATCAGTTGACACCTCTTACTGCAACATTTGTATCTTCATAGGAGACCTTATTACCAACTTCTTCGTTGACTTCAGGCTTTGCTGCCATGTATGGAGAAAAAATTTGTCCTGGTATTAAAAAATAATTTAGGTGTATTGTGGCAGGGATGCACCCCAGTGCAAAGGTGTTAGATTCACTGCTGATGAAGCATCTGCTCCTAGCTGATCTATGGGTCTCACAGGCTCAGCATCTTACGCTCTTCACTTGGAAGAAGGACAATGTGATGGTGACATATTGGAGAGAAAAACAATGGAGGAAGCAGGATTGGCAATTTCCTGGGGGAAAAAACTAGTTTAGGACAAAATGCTGGTAAATACTAGCTTAAACAGGGATATTGGGAAACATAAATTATTAGAATATACTAATGAAAATTACAGGAACATTTTGCAACTTGATAATAGTTTTGCAATAATATGGTCTGTTTAATTTTAATTAAATTAAACCAAAAAAACATCACCCTAAAGCTGTATACTATTGCCTTGGCGATCTCAAACTAAAATTGAAGCTTCTGAATCAGGGAATTCCCCCTTTAACAATGAAAATTATGTTTTTTTAGTAAAAAAAAAAAGGGGAATTCCCAGATTTGGAAGTTTCAGTTTCTGTTTGAGGTAAAGTGTCAAACTAACTGTCCTGTCTAGTACTCAGTCTCTTGATCTGGCACGCTGGTATGCAACTGAACTCAGTGAGTACAATGACTCAGGTCAGAATATTTCAATATGAGCAAAGGTGGAAGGCCACTTGGTCCAATTCCTGGGTATTTTGAGAAAGATTATGGAGATGGCAAAGAGTCTTAGATGCAGAAACTGCAAAGAAAAAGTGAGTGGGAAGGCAGACCGTATGAGGAAACACTTTTTGCAAAATGCAGTAGAAAGAACAAAGTGACATCAGAACCACTGACTTTGGTTAAACGTAGGAAAGTTTTGAGAATCAGACAGGGAGGATGAAGGTACTGGTATTACCATATTGCTAAGTACATCAAAAGAAATCCAGATCAAGGTTGTCCAAAGACAATGAGGAAGATGTATCACATTTTCCCCCCACAAATGGATGTATTTGTAACAAAAACAAATCTAAAATTTAAACAAAAGATAGAATTTTTTTACGGCTGTAATATTCCCTTTTTGATTACTAAGCATCCAACTTTTCAAGCAATGATCAGCAGCCTAAGGCCAGGCTACAAAGCACGCAATCAAAAGCAGGTAGCAGCTGAAATGCTAGATGCAGTTACACATGGCTTGTGTGTGAAAGCATGCAACAGATTACACGGAAAAGCAATTACATTAATACAAGATGGCTAGTGTAATGTGCACAATTTCCCAGCAATCGCTAACTGTGCAGATAGGGAAAACTGTAGTTTATGTATCAGTATGTGATACTGTAAGCAGTAAGATGATTGGAAAGTACTGTGCTACACCGGCAAGAAAAAAGGCTAAGGCATTAGCAAATGAACTGTAGAGTTGTGTTGTTAAAACCTACCTGGCAGACAATGAAAAAAAGATGCAAAGTATGGGAAGTGATTTGGAAGAAGGTGACGGCACTTTAGTTACATATGGATATGTATCACATTGGCTAACTACTTGAACAGGACCTTATTCCAAAGGATGCTGATGAAACGTTGTAGATTTACAAAAGTATTTTTGTAATCCCCATCAGCCAGGTTAAAAAGAGTCAAAATCTGTAAAACCCCAAATCCCTGGTGACACATGATGGAATAGTCATATAACATGGCTGGAACCATGCGTTAAAAACTGACCTCATTATCTCAGGGTTGCAAGTGATCATAAGGCAGAACTTGAAGATACAATGATCAGTCTAATTAATCATCAGGGGATTTAATGGAAGCAAAGAACATGATCAGTAAGTTGAAGCCAGTTGCTGTAGCACTTGACACACTCCAAAGGGACACAAACAGTTGATGTTGCATAAAAAATATATTTGGATCTACTGATAATGAAAACCTTGCACCACACAAAGCAAAAGTACAAAAGAGATTTCATGAGGTGATTACTCCGCATATTGGCCAACCTCCTTCATCCAAAATATGCAGGAAAGAAATTGTCAGCTGAACAAGAAGAAATTACAAGGCAAAGGTTGCTCAGCAAAAATCCCGACTAGCATATTTACTTACATTTAAAGTAAAAGAAGCTCCGTATCAAAATCAATGTTTTCATCCACTATCAAGGAAGAAAATTTCCCCTGTAAAACATAGTGGAAGAACCTGAAGAATGCTGATATTCCATCTGATTTCACAGAACTGATAGTGCAATTGCATCAGTGTCCAGCAAGCATAGAATAATTTTTTTCAAACTTTGGATATATCCATTCAAAACTGAGGAATAGGCTCAGAATAAAATACTAGCAAAGTTGGTATTCTGCTCCAGAATGCTGCATGGCCAAATGGACCTGGACTGGTAATCTGTAACTCTGTATGCTTCTGATTGCTCAGTGTTTCAAACCTGCAACTCTGCATTATCGTTGTTTTCATATAATTGAATGTTTGAATTTTGTTTATATAATATTGAAAACTGAAACGAGTCGTGATGTGTATAACTTCCTTGAAAAAATACCTAACCAAAAAGTATACAGACATTCAGATGTTCAATATTATAATTACATATATTAGTATTATGCCCACTGCAGTTTTACTTTATTTGTAAAACCCTAAATTAATCTCTGAATCTACTGCCTTATGTAACCACAATTTGGATTGTAATTAAAACTAAGTGTAATGTGGTACACATTAGTTAAACTGTTTTTAAAATAGAGAATGCCTGAAACTGGGACTAACTAGTTTTCCGGACCTATAAAAACTACCTCTGATAAATACCATGCCATTCATGGGAGGAAGGCAGTTCTCATCACTAAGAAAGGGAAGCAGCAAACCTGCACTCGAATTCCAGTGGGTTGGGGGGAAAGCATACCATTTCTGTCTGGAAGCTCAAAAGGAAATTGATAATATCACTATTCAAGTTGGATGAAGAAACGTATGCAATACCTTAAATTTTATATTAAAAAACCTCATCCTGGTTTAACCTATTGAAAACAGGTTACTCATGAGACCCTGCATATAGTTGGTACAGTTTATGATTGCAAATATTACACGGTACTTATCTAAGTTTAGTTGGGACAACTATTGACTGTACTTGGTCTGGCAAAGAGGCATCTATACATATTTCAGACATATCCTGATGAATACAAAGAGGATGAGGGACTATGATTGGGCACGGAACCCAGGTTATTAGTAGTCACACACAGGCCAAATATAACCTGGGTTTCATGCATAATAAAGCAGGGCCCTAAACATCAGAAAAGCCCCAGTAGTGCTCACAACTTGTTGAATACTGAGCCTGGGGCTAGAACTGAGGTCTCTTGCATGGTAGGGTAGACCGGAGCACTAGCCCTAAGTAGAATCACATTCTGAAGTCAGTGGTGTTGCACAGGTTTAACCAAGTGTAGAATTTGGCCCACAGAGATAGAAAGAAAGATCAGTTGTGAGATTTTATCATCATGAGGGTGGGTGGGTGGGATGTTTGTTTTTTAAATGTGCTTATATATTATACATAGGATACTTTATGGTTTAATTTAGTGTACTTGATTACTGACAAATTGAGATTTTTTTCCAATTTCAAACAAATAAGATGAAATAAACAAAAATTTACTCTGCTTAGAACTTTTTCAAGTGAGCTGCTCACAATTGCAGAAAAACAAAATAAGGGATGGAACAGTTCAGGTGATGAGTGTCCAAGCTGTATAGCGCGGACACTCTGAAGTTGAAGTTTAAATAGTTTTTCCTCTTTGTCCCAGACTGCTCTTTAATGAACTGTGTTCAAAAAAGCTAAAATATGAAAAATTAGAAATAATAAATTCATTGACACAGTCGTGACACTTCACCATCAGAAAGTAGGGTTCAGAAAAATCTCAGTCAATGGAAAATTGTTTCCATTACAGTTCAACTGTCCTACACTGAGGGTACGTCTTCACTTACCGGAGGGTCCGGCGGCAGGCAATCGATGTTCTGGGATCGATTTATCGCGTCTGGTTAAGACACGATAAATCGATCCCGGATCGATCCCGGAA